TGGGACCTACTTACTGGGTGAGGATGACCCTGCGTCCAGTGACCGTGTCCTGAGAAGGGACAGAGGAGGAAACGCAGACACGGAGGAGAAGCCACGTGGAGATGGAGGCAGAGACGGGAGGGACGCAGCCACCAGCCCCGGGGACGCCTGGAGCCCCCCCCACCAGGAGCTGGAAGAGGCGGGAAGGACCCTCCCTGGAGCCTGTGGAGGGGGCACAGCCCTGGGACACCTGGACGACCTCAGACACCTGGTCTGCAGGACGGGGAGAGAGTGAATTCTTGGTGTTTCGTGCCCCAAGTCCGTGGTCATTTGTTCCGGCCACCCCAGCACAAGGACACGCACTGAAGCCACGCCAGGATTCCGTGGCCGGGACTCCAGCACAGAGAGAGCGTTAACCTGTGGAGGGGCGGCGAGACCCCACCGAGCCCCGCGCCGGCCCCCTGGGGGCCCTGCCTCCTGGGACCCAGGCCCTCGGAGGGGCAGGGCGGCCACTGTAGACTCAGGTGAGGGCTGCACAGGGCCCGTGGGGGGTGGGGGGCTCAGCACAGACGGCGGCTCAGAGGACCGAGGGGGCCTGTCAGATTCTGGGTCTGCCTGCCGCCTGCTGGGTGTGCACTGCGGACCCTGATACCCACCCTGCGGGGGCGCCACACCCCCGCCAGGGTCTGCAGCTGGCACCCAACCACGTGCTGCCTTGGCCCTCTGCCCACCTGTGTCCTTTCCACAGAGGCTGGTGCAGGTGGACGGCTTGCCTGGGGGACCTGGGAGCCCGTCCCGGGGCCCCCTCCACCCTGTGGTCCCCAGGCCCTGGATGCACAAAGCCATCACACACAGCGTCTGCTGCATCTGGGACATCCCCTTATGAGATGCCGCCCCAGCCCATCGGCCCTGAACACCCGCGGTGCATTGGAAACGGTCTCGGGAACACTTTGCTGGACACAGAGTGACCGGCTTGGGGACTGCTGGGACTGTCTCCAGTCAGAGCTGCTGGGTCTGGAAGAAGCAAAACCTTCTCCAGACTCCTTCTTTATGTTTTTGCTTTGGCTGCTTTGATTTCCTTCTGAGGCTTTTTTTTTTTTGGATTGTGGTCAGACACACACAACAGCCCATCTGCCATCTTACGCACTGGGCGGGCCACAGCTCCGCGGCACGAGGTACCTCCATGTGGCGGTGCCGCTGGCCCCGCCGTCCTCTCCAGAACTTCCTCATCGCCCCACACGGAAGCTCTGCTCGCATCACACACTGAGTGCCCACCGCCCGCCCCAGCCCCCACCCCTGCTCCCGCCCTCTATGTTCTGTCTCTGTGAACCCCGTGTCCCCAGGGACCTCCCTACAGGGTTTGTGCTTCTGTGACCGGCTTGCACGCCACAGCTGCTGTGGCACCTCCTGGCTTCTTATCTCCACGATGTTTTGGGGGTTCACGGTGCTGTGGCATCCAGCTGTCATTGTCGGGACGGGGGAACCGCATTTCCACCAGGGGAACCGCATTGCCATCCACGCCGCGGTGGTTTTTATACAAGAAGCTGCAGACGGCATCAACATCACTGCACACTTGCCACAATTTGACGCCAGCCTCCTCAACAGATCCTGTCGGGCCCTGGCCGGCGTAGCTCAGTGGATTGAGCACGGGCTGTGAACCAGGCATCGCAGGTTCGATTCCCAGTCAGGGCACAGGCCTGGGTTGCAGGCCACGGCCCCCAGCAACCGCACATAGATGTTTCTCTCTCTCTCTCTCTCTCTCTCTCTCTCTCTCTCTCTCTCTCCCCCTCTCCCTTCCCTCTCTAAAAATAAATAAATAAAATCTTAAAAAAAAAAAAAAAGGATCCTGCCGGAATATCGCCAGCGATCGGCCGTGGCACGAAAACCTCTCCCTGCTCTCCCGCGGGGGACATGAACCTGTCTTCCGTCCCACGTTCTGACTCATCCTGCGGCCGGCACGGAGCCAGGCAGTCCGGGACGGGCCGCGCCTCCGGAAATGCTGTCGCTGTTCTGCCAAAGCAGCACCTCGGGCCTGGCCCCGGCGGCCCGTGCAAACCCCGCAGGCCTGGACCCCGACTTTTCCACGTGGTCTTTTCTAATCTGTCCTTGGACACCTCTGCCAGTCTCTGATGAAAAAAAAAAAAGCCTTTCATGTATTAGAACACATCTGTTGTGGAAATAAACGGGAGTGAAAATTCAGGAGGGAGATTCTTACCGAAGGTGACGGGTATAAGGGACCCACAAATAAATCCCCTCCCCCAAGTGGGGGACAGTGGTAGGACCTGGTGACTGGGGTGCACGCAGCTTTTCGCATGGACGGCCCCCTTTATCCGCTGAAACGAGGTAGGCACTGGGGCCCCTTTTCAGAGGAGCAGTGGGAGGCGTGGAAAGGTATGAACACCCCCCACCCCCCTTACTGGGATCCCAAAGTTGCTGAGTGTCAGAGCTGGAATTGGAACCTGACCCAACCCCAGGCCTTGGGGACCCCAGGGTGGGTGAGCGGCCCCTGCCTCTTCTCTAACCTCAGGCGCCCCTGCCCATCCCCCTTTCTCAGTGACCCACCCCGCGGGGCCGCTGGACTGACCTGAAGGTCCTCCTGAACCACCCCAGTGGGGGGCGGTCCTGCTCAGCAATCCCGAGATCCCAGGGATCCGTGTCCGGCTACTACAATGGCAAGGTCGCGAACTGGATGCCCAGAGCGCCCTGGGGAGCTGGGGTCCTCGGACACAGTGCGCGGACAGACACGGGTTGCCAGTTGGGACCAACGGGCCACAGGAATACAGGGTGTGGGCGTGCAGGGAAGAATGAGACAACAATATGAGAACTCACTAGTTCACTGGACAATCTGCCCATACATCTAAACTGTCCCCCGATAAAACCCCCTATTTGTGTGATGAGACGAGTATCTCCTGGGTAGAAATAGGCATCTTGGGGGTCCCCTACGATAGCGACTTGGAGGGAGGGGGCCCCGCAGTTTGGCTTCCCAGTTTTTGCGGAAGTGACGAGGGGCTGGATCCTCAGAGGGGTTGGTCCTTCCAAAACAGTTGTCAAGTGTGCCTTGGAGATGTCTCCTGCACTGTCTTCGTCCCGAGGACAACGAGCAGAGGCCGTCGGTGCCCATGGAGCAAGAAGAGGGGTGTCCTGTGCACAGGTCAGTTGACAAAGGGGGGCCCCTGGGCACCCTCCCTCTGGCCGCTTGAGAAACAGGCACTTACACTCAATCCGGACCTTTGCAGAGAGTCCTGGGCGACACCCAGAGGTGATTCACGCAGTCTGTAATGGGGCTGACATACGTACCCTCGAATGGCTGACACAATAACAGTCATTATGACACGCTGCCCTGGCTGGTGTGGCTCGGTGGATTGAACACAAGCCTATAAACCAAAGGGTCTCGGGATCGATTCCCAGTCAAGGCACAGGCCTGGGTTGTGGGCCAGGTCCCCAGTAGGGGGCGCATGAGAGGCAACCACACACGGAGGTTTCTCTCCCTCTCTTTCTCCCTCCCTTCCCCTCTCTCGAAAAATAAACAAAAATCTAGAACAAAAAAGAAATATTAACAAGTAATATGAACTGACTGAGTAGTTAATGATAATTAAGTATTTTTTAAAGTAGACATTTTTAAGATTTTATTTATTTCTTTTTAGAGAGGGAAGGAAGGGAGGAGAGAGAGAAACATTAATGTGCGGTTGCTAGGGGCCATGGCCTGCAACCCAGGCATGTGCCCTGACTGGGAATCGAACCAGTGATGCTTTGGTTCGCAGCCCGCGCTCAATCCACTGAGCTACACTAGCCAGGGCTGATAATTAAATATTAATGATTGAAGACAGTGAGCGTTCACGACATATTTGATAATAATTTATTAGGATTATTTCTGACATTTGAGGGACACACGAACCTCAGCCAATCCGGAGTTGACTGCCCAAACACGTGGGCTGAGCCCAGTGAGGCCAAAGGGGAATCGGAGCCCGATTTTGAGCAACCGGCGAGTGGACGGCCACCCGTCCGTGGGGTCCCCCAGGAGGGGGTCCGTGTGGCGTCCTGGAGGTGGAGAACCTGCCTTAGAATAACACAGTCAGTCTGTGTTTGTATCCTGCACCTGTGTCCTCTGTGTATTATTAGTCGTCTAGCTCTGTATCGTGAATATCTACCGTTATCCATCCTCCTCTGTCCGTTTCCCTATCACTTTTTATCCATGCATTTATCACCTATGTACGCAGCGTGAATATCTCTATGCCTCCCTCTCTTTCACTCACACATCCGCCTGTCTGTCTGTCCGTCTATCCCCCCCACGTGGCCCCCAACGGGCTGTGCCAGTGGTGTCACGGGACTCCCCCACACACGCTCCGTGGTCACAGCTGGGCGGGCAGGTGCTGCCACCTAGTGCTCGGAAGCCAGGCAGCTCCGGCCCCGCTCACCGACCCGCCCCCGACGCTGACGTCACTGTGCGGACCTCCAGAAACCCGCCGGAGCCGGAGACGTTGTGCCCGTGCATCGGTCCATCATCCATCCTTTGGCCACCTGCAGATAGGCGTCCTCCCGTCTGCGCGCGCCCCACGGCGCGCACGGGGATCCCCATCTCCGCGCCCCTACTGCGCCCGCGCCGACTCCGATCTCCGCGCCCCCTTTCGGGGATTACAAAGGAGCCCACACTGCCAGAACCTCCGCCGGCGGGGGCGGGGCGAGCGTCGGGGGCGGGGCCCCGCTTGCGGCCGGTCTTGGGCGGAGCTTCTGAGGGGCGGGGCCTTGTTGGGCGCTGGGCCCGGGGAGGACGCCCAGTTCGGATTCGGGGCGTGGCAGCGGGGCAGTGTGGGCGGGGCCTTGTTGGGCGCTGGGCCCGGGGAGGACGCCCAGTTCGGATTCGGGGCGTGGCAGCGGGGCAGTGTGGGCGGGGCCTTCCAAGCGTCCGTTAGGGGCGGAGCCGGCTCGGAGGCGCAGCGGCTCGGGCCCGGAAGCGGAGCTCTGTCCAGGCGCGGATTTACTGCGGGCGGGGCTCCGGCGGCCGTGCGCTGTCTGCGGGGCTGAGGACCTGCTGGCTGCTCCCCTGCGCCTAGCGCACCTGCCTCGCGGCCATGGTCCTGTACCCGGTGATCCGGAAGTTGCTGGAAAAGCGCGTGGTGTTGGCCAGCGCCTCCCCGCGGCGCCAGGAGATCCTAAGCAACGCGGTGAGTGTCTGGGACGGACCGGGGTCGGGTTTCCGGGAGCCAGCGGGAAGTTACCGATCCGGGAGCCTAGCGACCCTGGGGCCTCCGGGCCCTGGCCTGCGGACAGCAGGGGGCGCCAGGTGACCCGGGCCCGGTGATTGCGGGCTCCGTGGGCTGGTGGCGGCTGCGGACGAGGTGTGAAGTCCAGAGTCTTCAGGCCGAGATTTGGAGACCCCGGGCGGCGAGGGGTTGGGGCTGCGGTATGCGGGCAGCTCCTACTGACCGGGGTCCACGTCTGTGGGCCCGGGGGAGCCGGAACCTGTGCGATCTGCGGTCAGGGTCTTGAGGCCAGGCTTCGTGGTCTGGCGACCTGTGTGGCCTGGCTGAGGAGGCAGGGCATGCCAGGTCAGGGTGCACAGCTGCCTCTGTCCTGGGGAGCCCGGGGACGGGGGGAGGGCCAGAGCCACGTAGGTGCTCTGTAGGGCTGCCACGGAGAGGGGCCGCTGACCCTCTGTGGCCAGGGTGCACAGTGCGGACCCTGGGGTGTCAGCGTCCATGACCACGCTTGTCCAGGGACTGTCCTGCCTGGTCAGCATTTCTGTCCTTTGCATTTCTTGTGGGCAGTGTATTTCCAGTTGCTGGGCCCCCGGGGTGGGGGTGGAACCCTGGCCTTGGGAATGTCCTGGGCGCTGTTCCACCCCCAAGGATTCGATCCCTGTATCCAGCACCTTCGTCGGTACTGTCCCCAGGCGTTTGAGTGACCGGGGTGCACACCTCACTTCCCTGTAGGTCCCGAGCTCTGGCTCTGCACGAAGTGGCTATTGGGGAAAGTTCAGTGTCGGCCACAGGGGCTGAGAGGCCACACTGGGTGTACCCCCAACCTGTTCTGTTGGGGGACTGCTGCGACCCTCACCCCCTCACGGCCCCTCTTCTCCCATTGCAGGGGCTCAGGTTCACGGTGGTTCCTTCCAAATTTAAAGAGAATCTCAGTAAAGCCTCCTTCCCCACCCCTTATGCATATGCCATGGAAACAGCCAAGCAGAAGGCCCTGGAGGTGGCCAGGAGGATGCACCAGGCAAGGACTCTGCTTCTGCCACCTGGGGATCTGGGGCCACAGGGGAGGTGGTGGAAGGTGGGGGTCAGGTTTGAAGGAGACCTGTTGCATAAATGCTGTCACAGTGTGCAGTCACGCAGCTTATTCATGGCTGAGGGTTGCAGGGTAGTATACTCTTCCCCTCATGTAGCGTTTGTGTAGCCCAGCTTGTCACAAAGAATTGACGTAGCTGGTCTGTTGCATTGTTACTATATCACAGACTACGGTAATTTGTGTGAAGGTGTCATTTACAATACAGATTTAATGTAGCTTACCTGTTACATTGTGTTACCTAACACTTAGCTACTATTGTAGCTAATAGTATCATTCCTATAATATAGATTATGAATTACTTTGTTGCTGTGTGATAGAGAATCGTGATTAATGTAATAGTATCATTTATTTTAATGTAACTACTACTACGTGTTACCGTACAATACCTTCCTGTAATGAACCCAATGGTGCCTTCCACCGTGTAGCATTAATGCAGCTTATCACTAGATGGTATAGTAATAGCCTACGGCAGTTGGGATACTACCTGCATTGTAGGTAATGCTGTGAGTATTGGTGTAAGTGAGTGAGAACTGAGAGACTGATATTCGGCAGGGGGAGGTTAGTGTGCAAGTGCACCCCAAGGACCAGGTGGGGTACACATTGTGGGGGACTGTATGGGGCCCACACGCTTGTCCCCACCCAGCATGAGGGGGCACACGGGCCTTACTCTCCCAAGTGAGCCCAGACACCAGCAGTGAGGCCGTCTGCATGCCCCACACCACAGACATACGTCCCTTCTGAAGCTCAGTTCGGATTCTTGCAGAAAGACCTGCGGGCCCCCGACATCGTCATCGGAGCGGACACTATCGTGGTGAGTCCGACCCTGCGCCTGCAGCCGGGTGTGCATGTCCCGGGTGACTCTCACCTGGAATTTAAAGAAGGAGTGTCATACTCGGACCGGGCGGTGCCAGGGTCCACCCTGGGCGGGGTCTCAGGGTCCCCGGAGGAAGCACGGCTCAGGCGAAGCAATGAAGCGAGACACCCGGTGGGGTGCTGGAGCACAGCTGGGCTTTTGGGGCCCGACTGACTCCCCGAGAAAAATCAATCTTTATTTTTATAGGGGAGGTGATACAACATGCAATGCATAGTGTGATTATTAAAACAGAAAGGTTACCACAGAAATAGTTTCTAAAAACACAGAAGGTTTTGCAGATCCATCGTGTTCAACAAAGAAATAACCCAAAAGTGCAGGAGGTCCCACAGATCAACCATATTAAACAAAGGTTATTTGACCAAGAGGGTCGTCAATCAGATAGCCAACAGAGCTATACGGGCACAAACTTTCAGGGGCCAATTAGTCACCAGGTATCTATTAAGATTCTGAGATTGGTCTAAATTAAAAGGGTGCAAGGGGTGATTTATAGGTTATATAGAAATTAGCTATTGTTTGTTGAGGTTAGATTTGTCTCAGTTAGGTAACTGGTTTTTTGCCTAGCTCTTTTGATTTATGCATCTTGGGGCGGGGGCGTGTTTTGTATTTGTTTCCATGTATTGAGATTATTATTTCCACCTACAACTCCTTGCTTCTGTGCACTCCTGTCCAGGGTATGGCAGGGGTAGTGGCTCTAATAAATCTTAAGCTTTTGAGTGGTGACTCCTTAAGAAACGTTCCTAGCAACAGCTTCCTCCAGCGTTCTGGCAGCTGGTCTGCCCATAGTTGAATTCTGTCCTCAACTTCCCAGGTCGGGGAAGCAGGCAGCATTAGGGTTGCTAGAGGGTCTGTATTCTGTGGTTAGCAAGTCACTCCACGCCGAATCAGAGGGACCGTGCAGATGTTTTGTTGTAACACACAGGCATCTAAAAATCCCACCACCTGTTGCTAGCAGCGACAGGCTTGCAGGAGGAGATAGACAGGAGACCCGGCCACAGTCGCCTCTGCTGTGCAGACACGTCTCACCCGACCTGGCTGTGTCAAGGGTCAGCTGTTAGTCAGCTCCTAACAGGGTGGCCCTCGCAGGCCTGGCTCTGGGGGTGGACATGGCCCTCTCTCTCCCCTGCAGGCGCTGGAGGGGCTGATCCTGGAGAAGCCTGTGGACAAGGCAGACGCCTACAGCATGCTGTCCAGGTAGGGGCCGGCGGCCGGCCTCCCTGGCACCAGCGCACGTCAGCGAGGGTGTACCCGGCCCGTGGGGAGGGCCCTCAGTCCTCGTGGGTGACCGCCTGACCTCACCGGTCAGCCTCCTGGGTCAGAGGAGAGACAGACCCAGCCTCCTTGAACTTAAGCTGCATTACTTCCACCCGCACGCCACTGGAGCAGAAATCCCCACGACCGTGACCTTCGCTCTGATCCCTACGCATGCCGCTGGGCAGGGGACCTCCCTCGGACCCCCTCCCTGTTTCGGCTTTCCCACGGCCCAGCAGGTCTGAGCTGGAAACCTGCGGGCGGGGACGGGGTGGGGGGAACAGGGCAGCGAGCGCACGGGAAGTGAGGGCCAGTCCCGGGGTGCAGGGTCACCCCGTTACTGGGGACCTGGGTCATGCTCATCTCCCTCGCTCCCGGGCGCGGCTTCTGTTGCAGGCTGAGCGGGAAAGAGCACAGCGTGTTCACGGGCGTGGCCATCGTCCGCTGCTCCAGCGAAGGTATCAGGGCAGCTCCACCTTCATCCCAAGGTCACACAGGGTCCCAGGGACTCTGGGACACCGGGTCCCCAGGGGACAGCTCAAGCGCCCTCCCACAGCATCCCCCCCGCCCCCCTGCCGGGGAAGTCGGGGCGATGTGGGATTGCGGGGTTGCCACGGAGCACCCCTAGAGTGCGGTGCGTGTGGCCGCAGCGGGGCCCCGTCGGGGACGTGGAGGTGACGTGTCCCCGGGGCTGACTCTGTCCGTGCAGGCGGCGGGCTGGACCTGGACGTCTCAGAGTTCTACGAGGAGACGCGGGTGCGGTTCTCGCAGCTGTCGGAGGAGCTGCTGTGGGAGTACATCCACAGCGGCGAGCCCTTGTGAGTGTCTCCCCGGGCCGCCCGCCCTCGGGCGCCGCGGCGGGGCGGGGCGGGGGTGGGGGGCGGGGGGGTGACAGGGCCGCCGTCGGCACGTCCGCCCTGTGGCTCAGGCGCTGGACAGACACACCAGACAGACCTGCTTTCTTCCGCTGGGGAGGCGGGCCAGAGGGACACCGTCCCGGGGACACCGCTGCCTGCAGCTCAGGCAGGGAGCGGTCCTCGTGCCCGAAACACAGGGGTCCAGCCCTGTCATGGACCAAGTCTGCGGACAGGAGTGGGAGGGCCAGGGCACACCAGTCCTGGGGGCTCGGTCAGGGTGGAGCAACGGGACCCAGCACCCCTGTGTCCCTGGAAAGGGGCTGACCCGGGCACCGGGGAGACCTGGGCTGGGGGCCCCCGTAAGGCAGGGCCCGAGTGTCCTGTGAGGGCCAGGAGCCCAGCAGCAGCAGAGCACAGCCACACTGGGGTCTTTCCTGCACCCCCAGACGTGGCTATACACCAGGGGCGGGTGGGACGGCGGCGTCACCCTGGGGACACCAGCTCCACCGAGTCCGTGCTGGCGGACAGGGCGTGGGGTGACAGAGGACCCTGGGCTGGGGCCCGACTTCCCAGCAGGAGCCGCGTTCCGAGTGGCAGGGGTGTTGGGGCAGGCGCGCTGGGTTCCCTCTGCCTGTGGTCCTGGTGCTCGGACCCCGCCCCCTTGGACTCGCATTCTGACCTCTCCCCTTCTCTCCGCCCCCTTCCCTCTGGCCCCGCCCTCCCCACTCAGGGACAAAGCCGGAGGCTACGGGATCCAGGCCCTGGGTGGCATGCTGGTGGAGGCCATCCACGGGGACTTCCACAACGTCGTGGGCTTTCCCCTGAACCGCTTCTGCAAGAAGCTGGCGGAGCTGTACCACCCGCCGCGCCCCGAGGACCTGCAGCGGGAGAAGCAGGATTGCATCCCCGCGGTGGCCACCTTCGACGGCCTCAGCGACTCGGGAGGCGCGGCGCCCGGCCAGGAAGGGGCTCGGGGGACCGCCGCCGGCCCCAGGCCCAGGGCAGGGAGCGCGCGAGGGACGCAGACCGCAAACCCACGGTGGAGAGCGTGCCGCCCACCGCGGTCGTGGAACTCATAGACGGCTACAAAGTGTCCAAGGTGACCGGCCCAGGGGCCCGGGGCGGCCGGGACTGAGGGACACGGTTGGGGCGAAAAACAGCAGCGGGAGTCCGTCCTGTCTTGGTCCTGGAGACCAGACGACTGGAACCCGAGTGTCCTGCGGCCACACGGCCTCCTCGGGCTCCGGGCACGGTCCTTCCCGCCTCTTCCAGCTCCGGGGGCTGCTGGCCGCACCTCTCTCCTCTCCGCTTCACGGGGCTTCTCCTCGGGCCCGTGTCTCCTCTAAGGGCACTGCCATGCGCCCACCCTGACCCGGGGCGCCCTCCTCCTCGGAGGCCCTTCACTAGAGGCGTCTGATTCCCGGGCAGCAGTGCAGGGACGTCGGCGTCCCTCCTCGGAGCCACGGGGCAGCCCTAACAGTGTGCTTGCTGGTTGTCCGCCGCCCCTCCGTGGCTGCAGACGCACGTGGGGCCTTCCTTCCGGGACCAGCGCAGTGCGGTGGGGCCTCCCGCATTGCCCCCAAGGCTCCTGGGCGGCCAGGGTGCTGCGCGGGCGGGCTCAGGCTGCGGCGGGACTCGGGCCTGCCCCCTCCCTCGCCCCGCCCCTTTTCCGCCCCTGCGACCCCGTGGCCCTAGTGGACTGTGCGGTCAGAGGAAGGAAAGGGGGTGCTGGGCTGCACCGCACACCCTCTCCTTTTCCTAGAAAGAGCGATTCCGTCCGTGCCCTGAGGCAGGTGGCCCTGTCACGAGTTCCAGCTGCGCCGTGCTTCCAGCAGGTGGCGCCCTCCCTCTTCTGTTCATCAGCTGCCAATCCTCCATCCCCTGTCCCATCTGCCCATCTGTCTGCCCTCTCCATCCTGCCACCCTTCCTCCTCCTGTCATACCGTTCCTCCATCCACCCCTCCGGCCATCCATTCATCTATCCTTCCATCCACCCCTCCATCCATCCATCCCTCCATCCACCCCTCCATCCATCCACCCCTCCATCCATCCACCCCTCCATCCATCCACCCCTCCATCCATCCGTCCATCCATCCATCATTCATCCACCCATCCATTCATCCATCCATCCCTCAATCCATCCATCCCTCCATCCACCCCTCCATCCATCCATCCGTCCATGCATCCATCCATCCCTCCATCCATCCATCCGTCCATGCATCCATCCATTCATCCACCCCTCCATGCACCCCTCCATCCATCCATTCATCCGTGCGTCCACCCCTCCATCCATCCATCCGTCCATGCATCCATCCATCCATCCATCCATTCATTCATGCATCCATCCATCCATCTATCCATGTATTCATCCATTCATCTGTCCCTCCATCCCTCCATCCATCCATCCCTCCATCCATCCATCCGTCCATGCATCCATCCATCCATCCATCTCTCCATGCATCCATCCATCCATCTATCCATGTATTCATCCATTCATCTGTCCCTCCATCCCTCCATCCATCCATTCTTGTATCCATCCATCCATCCATCTATCCATTGACATCCATCCATCCAGTCATCAGTCCATCCATCCATCCATGCATCTATCATGTCTTTTTACCTGTGTGTCCATCTATGCAATTGTCCATCCCTCTGTTCGTCTGTCATATGTTTATCTTCTATTCATCTGCGGGCCCACTCACCATTACTCCCCTCACATCAGCAAGGCCTCCCCCTGGCCAGGCCTCCGGACCCAGCAGGAATGCCGCAGCCAGTCTTGCAGTGGAGGTGACCTGCCTGGTCCATCCCGCTCGCTCGTTCATTGCCCGTACAGCTCACTGTGTTGCATTTCTGGAAATGCGTCAGCGGTCACAGAGGGTGTTTCGTGACAGAGAGAGAGCTCGAGTGACAGTTCTCAAGGTCACACGAGGGCATGCATCCTGAGCAGCACAGGGAACCCGTCCGCCCAGGACCGGACCTCTGTGTCCAAGCAGAGTTCCACTGGGGGCTCCTGCACTCGGGGCTTCCTTCAGCGGGGCGTGGCGGTCACGGCCCAGCCCACAGCAGCTGCACGTGGGGTTTCTCCCCCGGGAGTCTCTGCTGGCTGGGCACTGACGTGCCTACACCTTGTGCAGGGCGGGGACCAGCTAGCGCCTGACCCTCCCCTCCCTCCTGTGGGGGAGAGAGTCCCACCGATGACTGGTGTGGTCTGGCCCGTTTGGACCTCCCGCATGGCACTTCGTGGGGCCGAAGAGCACTTGACGAGCCACCTGCCAGGTCTCACTGAGCTGCTGTTCCCGCCCAGGCCCTGTTCACGGCTTGCAAGATGAAGGTGTTTGATGTGCTGAGAGACGAAGGCCCCCTGAGTGCGGTGGACGTTGCCAGGAAAATCGATGCCTCTGAGGGTGGAACTGGTCAGCTGCTGGACGTCTGTGCAGCCCTGGGCCTGCTGGACAAGACAGAGAGAGGTGAGGGGACTCGGAGGTGTTTTGCAGAGAATCTCAGAAGGCGGAAGCCAGTCACTGAGTGGACGTGGCCTCTGAGCCCAGCAGCGATGACCTCATGGGCTGCCCCTCTGCCCCAGATGCCTGGCTTCCGACCCAGAGGGTGGGACAGAGGACGGATGGAAGAAAGGAAAACGTGTGTGTGTGTGTGTGTGTGTGTGTGTGTGTGTGAGGATAGTGACTCCTCATGTCTCTGCTCTCAGAGGGGCTGTGTCAGTGAGGGACCTCCAGAGACACGGAAGAAACAGGACTTTTCTGTGTGCACGACACAGACAGGGGTTGACTTAGAGAGACAGACGAGACGGCAGGAGGAGAGATGAGAGACACATAGATGGATGGATGCATACTCGCATACAGTGGACGGAAGGGTGGGGAGAAAGCAGAGAGATGGATCGGTGGGGAGGTGGAAGGAAGGACAGAAGGAAGAAGACAGATGTGTAGTGGAAGGTCCAGATGATAGTGGGTGGATGGGGGCGATGGGTAGGTGGAGAGGAAGGAAAACTGGGTGGACTAATGCATACAGAGCAGACCAGAGATGAGATGGACGGATGGATGGATGGCTGATTGACGGAATGATGGATGGATGGGTGGATCGATAGATGGATGGTTGGTTGGATGGATGGATGGATGGATGGTTGGTTGGTTGGATGGATGCATGGGTGAATGGGTGGATAGTTGGTTGGATGGATGGTTGGTTGGATGGATGGATGGTTGGTTGGATGGATGGATGGGTAGAGCCATGGTTGGCTGGAAAGACGGAAGGGTGGACGGGGGATGGGTGGGACCACAGATGGAAGGATGTGCAGGAGGATGGATGGGGGGCTGTGACCATGGATAGGTAGCTGGTGAGACTGATGGGTGCATGGAAGAATGGACACATAGGCCAGTGAATGGATGGGTGGATTCTTGAAGGTGGAGATGGAGGAGTGGATGGAGGGATGGAGGGATGGATGGACAGACAGCAGATGGATGGAAGGAGTGCATCCAGGCTCACTGACCATCCCAGGGCCCTTGGGGGAAACCCCTGAGGGGGAACTCACCCCTCCTTCAGCACCTGAGCCCCCTCAGGCCTGCTCCCTGAGGAGATGCCTCCCAGCGTGGGGTGAGCAGCAGTCTGGGGGATGGTGTTCGTGCTCCTTCTCCGTGGGCCTCAGCGGTGGTCTGGTGGTGGGACCAGCTGCACCGTCACTGTGAGGACCTCACCTGTCACTGCAGGTTACAGCAACACACCCCTGGCCACCCTGTACCTGCTGTCGGACGGCGAGTACTCCTTCCACAGCCTCATCATGATCCCACGAGGAAGTCATATGGCCCTTCTTCTCCTACCTGGACTTTGCTGTCCAGGAGGGCACCGTCCAGCGCCAGAGGGCTCTGGGCACAGCGGGGGAGGAACACTATCAGGTACCGTGCAGCGCCAGAGGGCTCTGGGCACAGCGGGGGAGGACCAGTATCAGGTGACCAGCCAGAGGTGTTCCTTCCGTGCATGGGTCGGGGAAAGGATCTGAGGGGACGGGATCCGTGTCCGTCCTGGGGCTGCACCAAACTCGGAATCCACTGACCATTTGCTTTTTGGATGAAACAGTCCTGATGGAGTCCACTGTGGCAGGGTGGGTGGTGGAGGGGTGGAGAAGGGAGAGAAAGAGACACAGAGGGAGGCAGAGAGAGGGACACCGAGTCAGAAGACAGACAGACAGACACAGACAGACACAGAGAGAGGCCCAGTCCCAGGGACATGTCAGTAGAGGGTGCAGCCCGGGTGCAGGAGGCCCGGCATCTGCGTGTCTTTTCACACCCTGCTCTGCCTCAGGAGTCCTTCTACCAGAATCGAGAAAAGAAGCTGCAGTTCATGCGGGCCATGCACGGCCTCACCAAGGTGGCTGCTCGCCAGGTGGCCACAGCCTTCGACCTGTCTGGATTCACCTCTGCCTGCGACCTGGGAGGTGTGTACACCCCACGGAGTCTGTATCACCAGCTGCATGTGTGTCGTTTCCTGTGTCATATTGCATGTGACTGACATGATCATGAGCCTGGAAATCCGGGTTCTCTGTTGAAAAACACCCCAAAGTCTCCTGAGCTGCCAGCTGCATTTCCCTATTCTTCCTGCATGCCAATTGTCCTAGTGGCCCAGAGTGGCTGTTGAAGCACCAGCCATCACATCTGCTTTAACAAACCAGAAAAGATTAGGGACGGTACCAGACCTCCACAACTTTTCCCTGAGGATTCTCTTGTGACGCTGTGTCCCCACCCCACTCTCCTGCTCACCTGCGTGGTCTTGACCATGGGAGGCCCCAATGGTCACCAGCCATCTGCATCATGGCTGGCTGTATTTCACAGCAGTGACTTCAATGCAGGTTCTAGAACATTGCTTGATTTTGCCTCAGTTGCCCTTTGGAAACTCACCCAGGCATCCCTAAGTGCCTGGAAGGGCAGGTAGGGGTACAGTGTGTGATTTCACCTGCAGGGTGCACGGGTGTCCTTGCCTACGAACTGGCTCGGCAGTACCCAGGTCTGAAGGTGACCGTATTTGACCTGCCAGAGGTCATCGAGGATGCTGTGTGCTTTCAGCCCTATGGACCCCAGACAGGGCAGGTCAGCTTCGAGCCAGGTAAGCGCTCCTGTGCCTTTGCATCTGGTCAGCACTTATGTGACCTGTGACACGGACCTTGTCCCTGTGTGTGCGTGGGTGTGGTGTCTGTGCTTCTGCAGGTGTGTGTCTGTGCTGGTGGGTGTCTGAGTGCCGTGTTCACCTCTGTCTGCACAGGGGCCCCCGGTCCACCTGGGGAAGGTTGCAGGGCCCCCTTCCAGTACAAATTCTCAGCACTTGGGTCCTTTAGATAAGATGAGGCAGTGTCTGCTTGTCCCCAACCCACTCCCTCCTATGGACTTCCAATGCTGTCTGGATTCCCTGTAACCCCTGATATAGTGTCAGTGCTGTGTGAGGCTGTTACACTGTCTCCTTTCAGGAGTAACAAGAAAAACAAGTCTTGGTTTGGGGCAGACAGAGACATGCCCCCGATTGCATAGTAACAATGTAACATTTCCTCCTTGGGCAACAGCATGTAATTGTCTGAAAAGGTTTCCCTGTGTATTTTTGTTTTCTTTGGCTAAATATAAATCACACAGCTTGGGTTCCTAAAAAGCCCAGGAATTCCCTGGGCCTCCATCCTGGAGATCCGCCCTCTGATTCCAGGTGTCCTGCTGCCCCAGTCCCTCCAGGGGCTGCAGGGAGGGTGCTTTGCACCTCTTCCAGCTCCTGGAGCTCCAGGTGCCCCTGGGCTGGTACTCACGTCCCTCCCGTCTCTGCCTCCACCTCCACGTGGCTTTTCCTCCTTTCTGCGTCTCCTCTTCTGTCACTTCCAAGGACACTGCTGCTAGATGTGAGGCCACCCTGACCCAGGACGGCCTCCTCTCCGACCCTCCACCCATCCCACCTGCAAACACCCTGTTTCCAGAAGGAGCCACTCCTAGGTTCCAGAGTTAGGACTTGGATTGTGTTTGGGCGGGGGTCACTATCCCCCCACTGCAAGCAGACTCCTTTTCCGTTCAGTTCTGAGGCGGTGCCTCCCCTTTTCTGTCTCGGGGAGAACTGGTTCTTGAGTCCCTGATGGAATGATTGCTCTATATGTGTCCACCAGGGGACTTTTTCCGAGACACCCTCCCGGAGGCCGACCTGTACATTCTGGGAAAAGTTCTGCACAACTGGCCCGACGACAAGGTGCACCAGCTGCTGAGCCGCATCTCCCGCAGCTGCAAACCAGGTGAGACGGCCTCTTTGACCTCCTCTTTCAGACACACATGAAGACTGCTCCACTGTTTAGAAAAGTAACGTTTATGCACCGTAAGGGGCTGCCACACTCCCTGTGGTGCTCAGTTTACAGACTTCAGAGCTCGCTCTTGACTGGAGGATGTGGACACAAGTGCCTGCATGTTGGGACAGGTGCCCCTGAGCCTGGCTCCCCTGAGTGTCACAGTCCCGCCCTGCAGGGCCCTGGGGGAGCCTTTGGTTTCCTGCCCCTGGTGACCCCTGCCAGGGCTGGCCTACCCAGTGAGTCCCTCTTCTGCAGCTAATCCTGTCTCCCTGTCACACCCACACTCCGCCTTCCTGCCCTCCCCCCCCTCCCCCTGGCCAGGCTGCTGCTGCTGCTGCTGCTGCTCCAAGCAGCTGGGGCCCAGGGTCCAGTCACCTGCTCCCAGGTGGTCTCACAGGGGCCCCTCCTATAATAAAAGTTTCCACCTGTGTCCTATGCAGGGCATGCCCTCAGGGGCCCTGGTGGGTACCCCCAGAGGACCAGGCACCCTCATTTCCCCCCGACCTTGTTACCTGTCCCTGCTCCCTTTCTTCTCCCTGCTCACTCCCTCTGTCTCTCTCTTGGTGTCTCCCTGTGTCTCCCTGGGTCTCTGTGTCTCGTCTCTGTCTCCCTCTCTCTCTGTGTGTCCTTGTCTGTCTTTCTCTCTGTCTCCCCTCCACCTCCCTGTCTGATTCTCCAGGCCGGTGGGATGTGTCTGCAGCCTGTACCCCTTAGGGCTGGAGTCCGTCAGCCCCCTCTCCTGGGTGAGGGCCAGGACATCAGTGGCTGCTCCTGTGCACGCAGGTGGCGGCCTCCTGCTGGCGGAACAGCTGCTGGACGAGGACAAGTGCAGGCCCCTGCCCGCCGTGCTGAAGTCGCTCACCATGACGGTGCTGTTCCAGGGCAGGGAGCGCAGCCTGAGCGAGTACCGCAGCCTGCTGCAGGCGCACGGCTTCACCGACGTGCGGGCCGTGCGCACTGGGACCATCCTGGATGCCGTGCTGGCCACCAGAGCCTGACGGCCACCCGCATGCCAGTCCCAGGGTCACTCCCTGGGGGGACACTGGCTCACAGTCCCCCCACCGTGGCCCATAGGTAGAAAGTGTGCTGCAAGGGGCTGGAGTCACCCCCCAGGCTAAGGAACGGGGCCAGCAGCGGCACCTGGAGCTTGCGGGTGGGGCTGCAGGGGACAAGGGCAGTGCCAACTGGGGTCCCTCCCTTCACGATGCCGGGCCACCCGTCGTCTGTGGGGGCCTGGCCTGGGGCCTCCAGCAGGTGGACCTCCATAACACGGGCCGTGTCCACACCGCCCTCTCTCCACCAGCCCTTCCCACCACCTCCCACCGCTTCTCTCCTCTCCCCAGCCAGACTTCTAGTTTTACAAGATCACAGCTTAGGCAGGAGAAGGTTGACTGGGTGAAGGTGATTGTTCAGCCGACATGTCCCCAAAGTCTGCAGCTGGGACTCTGTGTCCTGGTAAAGTGTCCGTTTCCCTAAAGAGTAAGAAAGTGGGTGCACACTCGGCAGTGGGGGGCAGTCGTCAGGGTGACTGGTGGTATCGTTCAGATGGATCTGTTCAATCTCCTTTCGCAGCTCCAAATCAGCAGCCTGATAGTCACACAGCTTGTAGTCATAATTTCCCGAGTGAGAATGGGTTTCATAGACAATGTAGAAGTTGGTTTTCAAGATGCACACACACACATGATAGATACAGTGTAGGTAATCACACAGATAATCACTCATGCCCTGTCCCGGATGGACACCTTGGTCCTCCACTCTCCAGGGAGCCCTTAGCCGAGGACCCACTGACGCACGGGAAACCCCGGGGTGCAGAGTGACAGGCAGGTAACGCCTGTGAGAACTGGGGAAGGGTCCCTGGTCCCCTGAGACCACTTTCTGTGCCTCTGTGGCTGTTGGAAATGTTCTTAGAAACAATGAACACGATGGGAAGGGAAGACTCACAGCCTGAGTGTCTGGTTATTGTGAACACAGTGCGAACACTGTGGGTTTCAGGGCGTGGGGGGAAGGGTGGGGGGAGGGTGACCACCCGTGTCTCTCTCCTCAAAGGGACTTCCTCCTCAGGAATGGGCAGGCAGCCCCAGGTGGGGGTGGGTGACAGAGCTGAGCCCCACCCTTGGGTGCAGTTCCCTCATTCCTTGGCTCGTTCAGGGGTGTGTGAGTGCCCCTGGGCCCGGGACAGTCTGCGAGGGTCGTCCTGGGGTAACGTCTGCCCTATGGGGGTGGGGGTGGGGAACAGGTGGGGACATCGGGCTGTCGCATTACCACCTGAGAGCACATGGCCTCACCCCTCCCCACCCTTCTCCCCTGCCCTTGTGGGTCCCCGTGGGCCCCACCGCAAGCAGCCTGCTGGCCCCCCAGCACCCAGGTTGCTTACACGCTGAGCCAGGCTCACTGCACCCTGACCTCATCACCCTGAGGGCCATGCAGAGCCTTCCCCGGACTGGACCCAAGGCCTTGGGGAGCCCAGGGTGGGTGAGCGGCCCCTGCCTCTGTCCCTAACCCCAGGCGCCCCTGCCCATCCCCCTTTCTCTCTAACCCACCCCGCGGGGCCGCTGGGCAGACCTGAAGGTCCTCCTGAACCACCCCAGTGGGGGGCGGTCCTGCTCAGCAATCCCGAGATCCCAGGGATCTGTGTCCAGCTAGTACAATGGTAAGGCGGCGAACTGACCCCCAGCGCGCCCTGGGGAGCTGGGGTCCTCGGACACAGTGCGCGGACAGACACGGGGTGCCAGGTGGGACCAACGGGCCACAGGAATACAGGGTGTGGGCGTCACAGGCTGCAGAAGAAGCCTGGAAGCTGAGCTCAATTCGGGGCGGGGCTCTGGCTGATGGGCGGGGCCTCGCTGGTGGCGGGGCGGGGCCAGGTGAAGTGGGCGGGGCCTCCATCCCAGGAAGTCCCAGCTGAGTGGTGAGAACCAGCCCTGGGGGCGTGGTCGGCCCTGGGGCGGGGCTGTGTGGGCGGGGTCTCCTGGGCTTGGGGCTTCAATAGCCTGGGCCAGCTCTCCAGGTCCACAGACCCAGTGTCAGAACGAGGGGGTGAGGCAGACCCTCCACTTGGGGGCCCAGGGAGTGTGGCGCGGACTCGAGAGTCATGGGCTTGTTCCGGGTGATCCCGCAGCTGCTGCATAACCGTGTGGTGATGGCCTGTGCTGCCCCGCGCCACCAGCACATCCTCAGGAATGCGGTGAATAGCCGGGACAGAACCGGGTCGGGTTCTGGGGTGCGAGGGGCAGGCTAGTGATCCGGGAGCCTAGTGACCCTGGGGCCTGGGGCCCATGGACTGGTGCAGCATGGGTCACCCGGTGCCCCTGGCCCGGTGATTGGGGATGGTGGGCCCCTGTGGGTGTGGAACCCTGGCCTTGGGAATGTCCTGGGAGCTGTTCCACCCCCAGGGGTTCGATCTGTGTACCCAGCCCCTTTGTCAATACTGTCCCCAGGCGTTTGAGTGACCGGGGTGCACACCTCACTTCCCTCTAGGTCCGGAGATCCGGCTCTGCACGAAGTGGCTATTGGGGAAAGTTCACTGTCGGCCACAGGGGCTGAGAGGCCACACTGGCTGTACCCCAACCTGTTCTGTTGGGGACTGCTGCGACCCTCACCCCCTCATGGCCCCTCTCCTCCCATTGCAGGGGCTCAGGTTCACGGTGGTTCCTTCCAAGTTTGAAGAGAATCTCAGTAAAGCCTCCTCCCCCACCCGCTTCCTATGGTCCATGGAAACAACCAAGCAGAAGGCCCTGGAGGTGGTCAGGAGCATGCACCAGGCAAGGACTCTGCTTCTGCCCCCTGGGGATCTGGGGCCACAGGGGAGGTGGGGGAAGGTGGGGCTCAGGTTTGAAGGAGACCTGTTGCATAAATGCTGTCACAGTGTGCAGTCATGCAGCTTATTCATGGCTGAGGGTAGCAGTGTAGTATACTCTTCCCCTCATGTAGCATGGTCTCGTCTGTTGCATTTTACTATGTCATAGACTATCATAATCAGTGTGAAGGGATCATTTTCAATAAAGATTTAATGTAGCTTACCTGTTACATTGTTACCTAATAACACTTACTTATTATTGCAGCTAATACTATAATTTCTATAATACAGATTGTGAATTACTTTGTTGCTATGTCATAGCGCATTGTCATTCTTACATCAGTATCATTTATTTTAATGCACGTATAATCCAGGTTATGGAACAATACTTTCCTATAATGAACACAATGGTGCCTTCCACTGTGTAGCATTAGTGCAGTTTATCACTACATGGTATAGTAATATCCTACGGGAGCTGGGATACTACCTGCATTGTAGGTAATACTGTGAGTATTGGTGTAAATGAGTGAGAGCTGAGAGACTGATATTCGGCAGGGGGAGGTTAGTATGCAAGTGCACCCCAAGGACCAGGTGGGGTACACATTGTGGGGGACTGTATGGGGGCCACATGCCTGTCCCCGCTCAGCACGAGGGGCCACACGGGCCTTGCTCTCCCAAGTGAGCCCAGACACCAGCAGTGAGGCCGTCTGCATGCACCACACCACAGAAATGTGTCCCTTCTGAAGCTGAGCTCGGGTTTCTGCAGAAACACGGGAAGGCCGTGGAGGACGCAGATGGTAACCCCACGGTGCAGAGCCTCCCCCCGACTGCCATTGTGGAACTGATAGACGGCTTCAAGGTGTCCAAGGTGACCTGCGGAGGGCCCTGGGGTGGCCGGGAGGGAGGGGACAACCCGGGGGCCGAAAACCCCAGGGAGCTCATCTGTGTTTGTGTCCTGGAGACCAGGCGTCTGACGTCCCACGTCTCCCTGGGCCACGCTCCCCCCTCAGGTCCCCAGGGGGGGTCTCACTGAGCTGCTGTTCCCGCCCAGGCCCTGTTCACGGCTTGCAAGATGAAGGTGTTTGATGTGCTGAGAGACGAAGGGCCCCCTGAGTGCGGCGGACGTTGCCAGGAAAATCGATGCCTCTGAGGGGGGAACTGGTCAGCTGCTGGACGTCTGTGCAGCCCTGGGCCTGCTGGACAAGACAGAGGGAGGTGAGGGGACTCGGAGGTGTTTCGTGGAGAATCTCAGAAGGCGGAAGCAGGTCACTGAGTGGACGTGGCCTCTGAGCCCAGCAGGGATGACCTCACGGGCTGTCCCTCTGCCCCAGATGCCTGGCTTCCGACCCAGAGGGTGGGACAGAGGACGGATGGAGGAAAGGAAAACGGGTGTGTGTGTGTGTGTGTGTGTGTGTGTGTGTGTGTGTCTAGTGACTCCTCATGTCTCTGCTCTCAGAGGGGCTGTGTCCGTGAGGGACCTCCAGAGACACGGAAGAAACAGGACTTTTCTGTGTGCACAACACAGACAGGGGTTGACTTAGAGAGACAGACGAGACGGCAGGAGGAGAGATGAGAGACACATAGATGGATGGATGGATACTCGCATACAGTGGACGGAAGGGTGGGGGAGAAAGCAGAGAGATGGATCGGTGGGGAGGTGGAAGGAAGGACAGAAGGAAGAAGACAGATGTGTAGTGGAAGGTGCAGATGATAGTGGGTGGATGGGGCGATGGGTAGGTGGAGAGGAAGGAAAACTGGGTGGACTAATGCATAGAACAGACCAGAGAAGAGATGGACAGATGTATGGATGGCTGATTGACGGAATGATGGATGGATGGGTGGATCGATAGATGGATGGTTGGTTGGAGGGATGGATGGGGGAATGGGTGGATAGTTGGTTGGATGGATGGTTGGTTGGATGGATGGATGGGTGGGTGGTTGGATAGATGGATGGTCGGTTGGATAGATGGATGGTTGGTTGGATGGATGGATGGGTGGAGCCATGGTTGGCTGGAAAGACGGAAGGGTGGACGGGGGATGGGTGGGTCCACAGATGGAAGGATGTGCAGGAGGATGGATGGGCGGCTGTGACCATGGGTAGGTAGCTGGTGAGATTGATGGGTGCATGGAAGAATGGACACATAGGCCAGTGAATGGATGGGTGGATTCTTGAAGGTGGAGATGGAGGAGTGGATGGAGGGATGGAGGGATGGATGGACAGACAGCAGAT